CAGCAGGAAACACAACAGAGACTTATTATGTGCTTTTCAAAGTAAATGCCAAAATTCAACAAGCACCACTTCTGTGTTAGTTTTCAGTTTTTTCCTCACCCTGTTGAGTCATTAGAGTTTTGTGGCTCTGAGAGGGCTGGCTCCAGGGCACAGAAGTAATGCTCTGCTCAGAAGCTTGGTCTCATGTGGTGATTGCAGTTCAAACCTCAGCTAGGTCCGCCTGCACATGCTGGGCTTTCGTGTCAGTGCCCAAGATCCTCCAGGCTGCAGGACCTGAGGAAGGGGATTGCGACGGGACCCGGCCATGTGGAGGGTGCTCTTCTCTCGCTCCAATATGTGCACACGTGAGCTCTGTGAATAAAGAACAGAGTTGTGGCTCTGGAGGTATGAGGTTGTTTTGGACATGCAGTTCAGATGGTTCCTTTCTGAATTGTGAAAGATATCAAGAGATTTTGGGGGTGAGAAAAGGTGGTTTATTTGCTTTAAAATAAGACTGGTGGGGCCTGGCAGTCTGTCTGTGGTACGTGAGCGCTGTTTCACCTCCACGTTAAGAGAAAGGCAGCGGGCAGGAAGGGCGCACAGCACACAGTCTGGGTACGGTAAAACCTGTTTCTTTGGAAGTAGTGGGGATGAGTCATTCTGGAAAATAATTTCTAGACCATTTTATCACTTTAAACTCTCTAAGGTTTATCACTTTTTTTAAAAAAAAGTTAATTATTTAATTTTATTTGTCATTATCATTATTATTATTAATTTGCTACAGAGCATGTGTGCTCACCAGAGAGAGAAGGTAAGTCTCAGCAAATCTGAGACTCCAACTGCCGTACACAATGTGGGAGTCCAGCGCTTTAACCACCATGTCACCCTTTGGTCCACATGGGTTTTTTTTTTTTTTTTTTTAGGTTTTTGCTATAGGGTGTGCTTGCTCGCCAGACAGACAAAGAGAGACAAAGAGACAGAAAGCGAGAGCGCCACACCGCAATCCCTTCTCCATTCTTCTCGGGATCTTGGGCACGCACGCACACACGCCCTGCGTGAGTTTTAAGCCACCAGGTCCAGGGCACAAACCAACGGTCGACTACGTGGGAGTCCAGCGACATAGCCATTACGCTAACTGCTGGTCCCCCACATGGTTTTGTTTGTTTGTTTTGAGGGCGCGTGTGCTCGCCAGAAAGATAGACAGAAAGCGAGAAAACACCCCCCAGGGGGATGGCTACGCCGCAGTCCCTTCTCCTCCACTCTCCTCTCGGGATCCTGGGCATGCACACACATGTGCCCAGCTTGAGTTTAAGCCACCAGATCTGGGATTCGAACTGCGGTCGACTTAATGGGAGTCCAGCAACATAACCATTACGCCCACTGCTGGTCCCACCGTGTTTGTTTTTTAATAAGCGTGTCAGATGGAAATCTCTTCAAATAACAGTGCATATTTTATTACTTCTGTTTTTTAAAAATATACAATTAAGTTTTAGTATATTTACAGAGTGAACGATTACAGCCACAATCTAATCTTCGGCCTTTGCTTTTGATGTCTTTGATAGCTGAAGGTCATGTGTCACATACTTGTGCTGTGCTGTTAGACGTCCGTTTCACGTTTAAGGGGACTGAGGGATACGGTTCAGTGTCTGCTTACATGAATATGAGTGATCTCAGCTTCCACACTGACATTGTTCCTGCCCAAGGAAGCCCTAGGTTCTCTTGTTGTACTTTGTTTTTGCTTGGTTAGAAATTAGACAGCCAGGCCAGCAGGTGGTGTGGAAGTTAAGGTGGCTGGATTCCACATGGCCAGCTGTGCCCTTCAAATCTGGCAGCTTAAAAGAAAAATCACACTGGGTGTGTGTATGTGTGCCGCCGAAGTCCTGAGAGGAGAGTGGAGGAGAAGGGATTGCAGTGTGGCCATCCCCCTTGGGGGGTGATTTCTCCCCACCACCCTCCATGAGTGCTCGTACTCTATAGCAAAAGAAAAAAGAAATTAGAGAACCATGCTCGTTAAAATTACACAGAAAATAGAATATTACAAGAGTGTTACTGAGTTAACTTTTTAAAAATAAGTAATAGCTGTATTAAGGTAATTCACATAGCATGTAATTTTTCGACTTAAAGTGTGCGGCTTGATAGGTTTTAGTCTATTTAGTGTTGTGCAACCATCACCGCAGTCAATTTAGAATATTTCCATTACCCTAAAAAGAAACCAGTATCCGCTTGGCAGTCATTCCTTATTTCCTTCCAGCCCTGGGCAACTACTGTATTGCATTAGCTTTTATTGCCTTTTTTTTTTTTACTTCTTCAGGATCTTTTTGCTTATTTTCTTTCCTGGCAAGTTCCAGATGGGTGAAGTGTTAACCAAAAAATTAGGCAGCCCTTATTCAAAACTCAGTCTACTGATTTGGGCTAAGTATTTCCCTTGTTACAGAAATAAAACTTTGGGTTTTGACCACATGGAGAGTAAACTAGGCCTAGTTTATCTGTGATTTTCTCCTAAAGCTGCACAATAAACTGCAGGCTTCATAAAGACTGACTTTCAGGGGACCAGCAGATGGCATAGTGGCTATGTTGCTGGACTCCCATCTGGCCAAACACAGTTTGAGTCCTGGACCCAGTGGCTTCAAACTCACACCAGGTGCGTGTGCATGCGTGCCCAAAATCCTAGGAGGAGAATGAAGGAGAAGAAATTGCAGAGTTGCCATCCCCCCGGGGAATGATTTCTTGCCTTCTGTCTCTCTAGAGAGTGCATGCATATAGTAAAAATCTCTCAAAAAAAAAAAAAATGTCTATGAGATGATTGTTTTCTGACTTGTGAGTGTGATCTCGCCGTTTCATGTATTTGGCATTTAACGCAGGCTCACTGGAGAAACTAGCGAGTACCAGGTGTTCGTTGTGTGTCTGCCTGCTGAGCACTGTCCTAAAGGTATTGGAGTCCTTTAAAATGTGGCAAGACGGGTCCTCCTCTTGAATTGCTCATTCTGCCAGGGTCCGTATAAGATTCATTAATGTAGGATTAAGTGCTAAATGATATATTCCTGACCATAAGTACAATTCAGAAAAAGAGGAGATCAAGGCCAGCAGGTGGCATGGTGGTTGAGGCGCTAGACTCCCACGTGGTCGACCATGGTTTGAGTCATGGACCTAGTAGCTTGCTTTCTCACTTTCCCTCTGTCTCTCTTTGTTTCTCTCTGTCTCTCACTCTGTCACTCTCTGGTCAAATTGGAAAAAAAATAAATAAAATTTGGGAACCAGCAGTTAGCGTAATGGCAATGTCGCTGGACTCCCACGTAGTCGACCGCGGTTCGCGTCCTGGATCCGGTGGCTT